ACAGGTTACCTACAAGCCTGTTGGAGCTATGAAGGGTGTGAAATGCTAATAAGCTCTTTGAAAATAGCAAAAACACCAACCCAAACTTTTGTGTCTCCGCTTCTTCAGAACAGGAGAGGCTATATAACAAAGGATGGCTGAAATCTCCAAACCAGACACAAATGCTGAGAATCGCCATTTTCAAAGCAGGCTGCTTAAAAAGTGGTCTTGCTTTGGCTCTCCTGCCAAGATGGATCAAGGCCCTTCCTTTTCTACATCTCTCACAAAGAGTCAGAAAAGGATGGAGGCACAGAGCTTGGCAGACAGAAGCTTTCAAGTTCACCTCTATGAATTATCTGGGAAACTGGTCTGAAAACCTACCAGGAGGGAAAAGTTGAGTTTGTGCTATTGACCATCTGGAGCAGCAAGTTTTATAGAGGCAGGCAAACAGTCTGCAGCAGCATGACTGTGTTTTGAAACCTGCATCCTCTTCTAGTCTGCTTCTGAGAGAGACACAACAATCAAGTAATCTGTTGTGGAAACTCTGGCACTGACACATGACATGAATGTTGCAAGGCTAGAATGGCTCTCTCATCAATTTATGCTCAATGTGTTTGAAGGGATGGAGGAGCCAATACAAGGCAGAGAGACTCCTGCATACACCAGGAGCATGCCTAGGGCTCTGGAGGGAAATCCATACAATCATTTTTGCAGGTGGAAGCACCTTCCAGAAACTATCTGCTTGTTGCTGCAGATATTGTTGGAAACAAAGGCAGACAACATATTTGCTATTATTAATCTTCCATCCAGAGTACTGGCTGGGCAAATCAGCTAGTTATATTTTTGCTACAGTGAAAATTTGGGACATTGAACTTTGCTGTTTTTGACCGCCAAGCCAAGCTGCAATAGGTAGCAAAGTGCTAAGTCAGGTACAACCTTCCTAAAACACTGAATTCTTTTTGTGAGCACCATTGACCTGGGCCAACTCAAAAATGAAGTGGTGAGAGGATAAGGCGGCCACCCACCCACCGGACAGGTTCCCATCATTCAGATTCTAATTTGCTACAACCATCCTTCCCCCTCTGATACATTTTGAGTATGTGAGCTAGCCAGGAATGGTGTTGAGGACAGGAATCCTTTGGGTTGGAGCCAAATCAGTTTTACTCAGAGTAGACCCACTGAAATAATCAGTTCATGTCCATTATCTTCATGCAGAACTAGCATTAGATAAACCCTCTTGAGATTTGAGCGTTACTTCGTGTTATACAGAAAACTGATTTTGACCCATTTCTTTGTGTATGTGTGTGTTTGTGTACACACATACACACAAATAATTCAGATTGAATAAAATAATAATAATAATAATAATAATAATAATAATAATAATAATAATAATAATGCCACATCCTTACCTCCATTTCAGTTCCCACATGGGGAAATCTAGAAGGGTTTGTTTCTTGAATAATGCATGTGGAGCGACTGACAGGACAGGAGGTTTGCTCTCTGTTTTCCCTCTAGTGAGAGGCAAAAACCTTGGAGAGTCCTGACTGAAGGATGGTGAGCATGTTTTTCAGCTATTGCAGTTTGTTACACGGCTTCCCCCAAATGCTGCCAAACAACGGTTATGATGTCTGAACTTAACACCTTTAAAAATACAGCATCCCCTTTGAAGAGTACACATTTAAGCTAAGTGAATTTCATTAGGGGGTGGTTTTCCTTTTTGTCCTTGGCATTCATCTTCAAAGCAGCTTTGCGTACTTGTTCACTGCCTGAGCCAAGATGTAGTAATAAAACACTGGGAATAATTCAACATTATTGTTCTTTGGACAATTTTTTCTAAAACAACAACAACAACAACATGCATCCATAAAGCAGGCACAAGGCCCGTCTATTGAATTCGCCTATTCTTTCTTTTTGTTTGCTTAGGAATCTTGACAGATCTTCATCCTCTCACTAACAAGTAAAGGAAATTAGCCAGCTTAAAAAATCCCTTTAAAACCCACAAGAAAATAAGATTCCCACCCCCACTCCCACCAAATTGTAATTCATTTTTTTAAAAAGTGTCAATATGACACTGCCTCAAGAATAGAAAATAAAGTATTTACAGCTTTACAGAAGGGGGGGGACGACGAAGTCATCACAATTCACGTCCAGCATTTTCACATTTTTTTTTCCTGACAAGCTTTAAATCTGGTTGCTACGGACGGACAGGACTAAATGCAAATCTAGAGGTGCCACTGTCTACTAAAGCCAGCAGCATTGACTGAAAGAAATGCAATACGAAGGAAACTGTACTGTTAAGGGACTGATCCATTCACAAACTCACCCTGATGCTCCCTCAGATATAATAAAACCTCATATTCAAAATGTGAAGAGAAATTTTTAAATTCAGGTTGCATATGATAAAAAAGATACCAACCACCACCTTAACCCCTACTATTCTGTTCTACCATTATTCTTACACAGGTAATCCCCACCTACCTCTAACACATACAAATAATAATAATTGCTTACTTGAGTACCCACCTAGTCATTACAAAATGAACCATTTTGTTGATGCCCTCTGTGTTGACCAGTGAAACCTCATCCCCCTACCCACTTATACAACCATACAAGAACCAGTTCCCCCTGCCCATGCCTACCCACTACACTCTACCTTGAGCATGCCAGCCATTAAAAGCAAACACATTGACACATGCTCTTAAAGTTTAAAACACACCCCTCCCCCAAAGAAGATTAGCAGCAATGAAGTTGGATGGCCTTAAGTAAAAACCGCTCAAATTCTCAATTTCAGAAATAGTAAATCCTACAATTTCTGGGCAACTGAAGTTTAGCAGGTACACATACAACCTGCACTCAGGAGCTGCCAGATTGGGTAGACGGGTCTCCCAGTGTCTGGAGAAACTGCAGAGCGAAAGAGCCAACATTCAATGCTGGCTTCGGGACCCTGAGATGCTATTTATGAAAGTGCCAATGCCCAACCCTTTGGAAAGGACAGGGCTGCTGGTCTCCCCTCCACCCCCCAAAAAAGCTGCAAAACTCACAGTCAGAAAAGGGTACAGCTTTGGATAGAAATGGGGTGAAAAGAATAAGGGCTTAGGAATGAGATTCCTTTTCCAAAGCAGAGAGAGAAAGCGATGAAGCGCTTGACCAAAAGTTGCAAAAACAAGCTTTTTAAGGGTCGCTAAGCAATGGGGCATAAAGCTACTAACCAGAAGCAGCAAACTTGAGTTTCAAGCAGCAAATCAGGACGAACACAAAGTGTCCCTTTTTATATTGCATCTCCCATTTCCCCCCCTTTTTTTGCATGGATGGGAATATAGTAAAGCTCCCCTTCTGAAGGCAAACACTTCCCCACCCAGGAGTGTCTCCTTCACAGGACAGACGTGTTCATCTGCCTAGGCACCAGCCATCACCTTCAGCAACCCAAAGCAGCAGCCAATGGGACAAGAAAGCACTCTGGAGACAGTGGGGGAAGGAGCCCATCAGCCACACAACAGCTTTTACTAGGGGTTGATCTGTAGGCATAAGGGGACAGGTTTCTTCTTCTCGGCATTTCGTGTCATTAAGAAGTGTTTTGCAGGAGAGATAAATATCTAACACCCACCCCCACACACCAGCTTTGCCAGAAGGGTGATTGTGCCTCCAAATCTGGGCAGCATAAAATGATACCATATTGGCAAAGAGCTACTCTTTTGTTCTGGATAACAGCAAGTGATCTGGACCAAGAAGATGCTGGTTCATGGCACCAACCCCAGTTGACTATCTGGCAAATAAATGTCAGAGGCTTGTGTTTAAGCCACCAAAGGATGGAGTGGGGGGCCAGTCTCACTTGCTTTTCAGAAAAGCAAAGCACGTGACAGTTATACCTTAGTGTCAGGCAATACAATACTGTACTCTCGATTTTAAAAAAATAATAATAATCCACATCTTGTAATACTTATTTTCAGTGTACCTGAAATACAGTGGTACCTCGGGTTACATACGCTTCAGGTTACATACGCTTCAGGTTACAGACTCTGCTAACCCAGAAATAGTACCTCGGGTTAAGAACTTTGCTTCAGGACGAGAACAGAAATCGTGCTGCAGTGGCAGCAGGAGGCCCCATTAGCTAAAGTGGTGCTTCAGGTTAAGAACAGTTTCAGATTAAGAACGGACCTCCAGAACGAATTAAGTACTTAACCCGAGGTACTACTGTACAGGTGCGGGACCTGACATGCTTCAAGACTTCTAAAGCTGTGTTCCTTGCTGAGGGGTCTTGGGAAAGGTAATGCCACTCACCCTATAGTTTAGTTAACACTGATTCTGAGGATGGTGTGGAAAGCTATCACTCTCCAAGCTTCCAAGAGCAGCACAAAAATGCAGTCCTTCCTCAACAGTAACTTTTTGAGAGGAAATCATTTGATGGCTAAAGTACAAATGAAGGGGGGAGGGTGAAGAAAAGAGGGAGGGAAGGGAGAAAGTTTGGAACCAAAGGATCACTGGGAGCAGACGCAGCAGTAGGAAGCTCCCTTGGCCAAAACAAGCTCCACAAACAAGTAAAGGTGTGCAAAGTGAATGCTCAGCTTCCTTCCCAACAGGAGACAGAGAAGCCCAGCAGTGACCTATAACATTCCATACAAATAAGGCGAACGCTTTGCTTGCTTGTTTTTGCATAGTAATTAAAAAACAGTGTTATTCCCACCCCATCAGACTTTTGCTATTCTTGCCTTGCCACCAAGCTTCTAATAGAGTTCTGGACCTCAGCAGAAAAGGTGTTGTGCAGGTCTCTGAAAGGATTCTCTCAAGCCACAATTCACATCCCTTCTAACTGCATGAGCCAAGAGCAGGTGTCATTAAAGGGCTAAGATTGGGAGGGGAGGACACTTTCAATCCTGTTCACGCAAGACACTTGTCCCCATTGCTGCTCAATGGTGTGATATTTGCTACTTAGTTGCCATGGGGCCTGCTCTGCCAATTTGCCCAGCACTTCAGTCCAGTGCTAAACTTCCATAGCAATTCATTCTTCTGCTACCAGAAGCTTATTTAGAATCATCATTTTTATATAAAAAGCACTATGATATTCCAGTGGAGCTCAAAGTGGCTCAGCTTGGGGCAAAGGCACAATTAAAATACCATATACACATACTTTTTCTTACAGAACTCTACGCCTGTCATTTGTAGAACAGTATAAATGTTTTTTACAGCACCAAATCCTTGGATGGGGTGGGAAAAAATACTAGATCAAGTCCTTGGCACCCCCAAGGCTAGGGGCTTTGAAGTCTCTGATCTCTCTGCATTTGTGAAATCTCTTCTTTTTCTGGGTTTTCTTTTTCTTCTCTCCTTGCGCCAGAACGTTCTGGTTATTTATCAGCTGACCATGGGCTCAACGTCTGCTTCTCTGTCAAACTCATCCTGAATTTCATCCGTGTTTCCTGAGTCGCTGCTGGCTACCGAACTGGGAGACGGGGAATTTCTGCTGACAAAGAAAAGGGGAGAGAGAGGAAGAGTGTGGTTAGGTCCATCCTCTTAAATAAGACGTCTTTCCATGTTAAACAGCGGCAAAAGCATGTTCAAGTTGCATGGATGTAAAGTAGGGAAGTACTGGCTCCCCAGAATGCAAAGGGCAATATGTTTGCTGCATTTCAGGCATCAACAGTTTTATAGCGACTTGTAAAACCCTTCGCAGACATTGCAAAAAGTGAGATGACAATTGGAGAAGACAGCACCCTAGTGCTCTGGACCACTGGGTGCCATAAAGTATTTGCCGCTCTTAAACAGTATTGCTGTTAAACTGGATTTTCAAGGTAAACAGTTACATCTTGGGGCCTGCTGTGTTTGGTACTTCCAGCGAAACCAGACACCTCAGAACAGCTAGTCTTCAGATTATTGAGTCCCTCCCAATACCTCTGAACTAAAGCTCTCCATCACCATCCCACTTGGGCAAATAAAAGTTCTCAGGTGTGGATTCTGTGTTACCTTTCAGCAGAGCCTTTAATGAGCCGCCGGCAAGTCTCCATTTGCACATCCAGGCCCCGTTTCATGCTGCACATTTCCATGTACTCGTGGAGGTGGCGATTCATGTCACTCTTGGCCGTGGCAAGCTCAAGCTGCACAGAAGGAGAGGGCAAAGCCAAGCAAAGCATGAGAACCACCTTGTGCCCTCCCTGCCCTCCTGCACATTTTGATGGAATGTCTATTACCACCTGCTGGCCTAAAGGCTGCTAACAGAAGTGAGCATCGCTATTTATATTTATAAGCTACCTCCTCATTTTTCTTGACAAAGGTCTGAGCTTATGATATACATAAATTCCAAAAGATTCAAGGCAAAGAAGTATCCCTTCACCAATAACATACACAAGCCCTCTCAAGTTGCACCCAACTCTTCCCTGATTTGCCTATCTGAAGTTTGCACACGAAAGCTCATACCAATAACAAACTTAGTTGGTCTCTAAGGTGCTACTGGAAGGAATTTTTTTATTTTGTTTTGACTACGGCAGACCAACACGGCTACCTAACTGCAACTAGAACCTTTATTTCCTATTACCTTCTGTCATTCTGCCCACCCCAGAAAACTTTGCCCACCTTGTTTCTCTTCTCATGTCCAATTCAACCACATATAGCCCTCATTAGCAAAAAGAGATGGAGAAGGTAACTGCCTTGAAAATTACCCCTCAGCAATAAGGCAAAAGCCTGACCATTTTGATCCATGACCAGCCTGTGGCTGCTCATCAGATTTAATCATTTGCTGCCCTTAATTAAACACAACCAGGCCACGCAGACAAACAATTCTTAGGCTCCTCGTTCCTTACCTCAATCTGTCCTATCGTTTCTTGGTATTCTTTGTCCCTCGTTTTGAAGAAAGATTCTGTTTCATGGATCAAGTTGCCCAAGTTCTCCTCTTGCTATAAAATAAAGAAAATCAGGAAAAGGTGAGCAAGGAATTCTGTCACCCAGAACCAGCCAAAGAGCCAGGCAATACTGTGGATCCTATCCAGCTCAGTATTGTCTACAATGACTTGCAGTGGCTCTCCAAGATTTCAGGCCAGGATCTCTCCCAGGCCCTACCTGGAGATGCTCCAGATTGAACCTAGGACCTTCTCCATGCATTTAGTGTATTATGGTAACATTCAAGATCATCTGTTCTAAGATAATGTCCACTTGACAGAATTCAGCCTAGCAGAGCTTTACAGACAGAAGCCTGCAGTGCAGAAAAATGGTTCAGTTCTGGCTCCGTCTGGGGAGCTAGAGGCCTGGAGAGAGGGAGTTGCAGCACTCTGTGCTCAGCTCCCTGAGTCAATTAGCCTTTCATTCCCGATCTCGATCTACAAGGCAAATCTACCCTTTCGTTGTGTAATTTTCAGTTAGAAGGGATTTAAGCCTCTTAAAACCTTTAGAGCTGCAGCATGCTAGGCCTGAACTCTGTAATACTCCACTGATAGCTATACTTCTAACGCACAGGCACATGGTTATATGCAAATAATCTGTCACTTAATTCCAGGCCGTCACTAAAACTGCTTTATCACCCTGGCAGTTGCAGCTCACTAGAAAGGCGCCTTCACAAACGTATGCCACATTTTGCAACTGTAGCACTTTGGTGTAATCTCTCACCGTTTTGCAGTGCACACCACCACAGTTCACAAAATGGAAAGGAACAACTTAACATGAGCTCCTGGCAGTCAGTATAAAGTGGATTGCTGAGGAGATGTGGCTGCTGCAGTGGCTTTCAAGCCAAGGAGACAAAGCTTCCTACCTCCCACCATCACCACCCTCTATCATGTTACTGAGAAAGGGAGGAATGGAGGTACACTGAGAATTTGACCATGAAAGGTCAGAGCTCTCCCAGTGTCAAGGCACTCAAGGCTCAAATGCATCATCAGAAAGGTTTCCGAGCAGTACGTCTCCCAGTACGTTTCCGAGCACAATTCAAAGTCTTGGTGCTGACCTTTAAAGCCCTAAACAGCCTCGGTCCAGTATATCTGAAGGAGCGTCTCCACCCCCATCGTTCTACCCGGACACTGAGGTCCAGCACCGAGGGCCTTCTGGCGGTTCCCTCACTGCAAGAAGCTAAGTTACAGGGAACCAGGCAGAGGGCCTTCTCGGTATTGGCGCCATCCCTGTGGAATGCCCTCCCACCAGATGTCAAAGAGAACAACTACTACCAGACTTTTAGAAGACATCTGACGGCAGCCCTGCTTAGGGAAGCTTTTAATGTTTGATATATTACAGTATTTTAATATTTTTTTGGAAGCCGCCCAGAGTGGCTGGGGAAGCCCAGCCAGATGGGCGGGGTATAAATAAATAAATAAATAAATAAATAAATTATTATTATTATTATTATTATTATTACACACCCATTAGACACAGAAACTTTTCCCTACAGACTTTATTGGGCAACAGGGACAGGATTCTGTTGCTCTACCCAAACAGTTCAGCAAGCACCAATGTAATAAGCAGCTCAAGGCTCTTCTGAACCAGGCATCCTAAAAAGAGAATTTGCAAACCAGTTGACTGGATGCCCTTGGAGAAAGATGTCTAGGCCACTCCATCATTTCCAAACTGTGTGTTGTGACAAGTTAGTGTGTCTGTTGCAATGTGTAGGTGTGTCGGCGAATGCTCCCCACGCTCCTGGGGAGGTCTCCCCGACCTGGTCTTTGAGGCTGGCGGTGCTTTCCCCCACCAGCCCCAAAGAGCAGGTCAAAAGGAACCTGAAGCCTCCGGAGCCCAGAGGGAACTCCCGCCGCACTCCAGAGGCTCCGGGTTGCCAAGGTAGCCGCCTGAAGCCTCCAGAGCACAGCGGGAACTCCTACTGCGCTCCGGAGGCTTTGGGTGAATGCACCTTGAACACACCTTGTTTTAGAAGGGAAGAACAAGAAAATCCCCCCCCCTGTTTTCTCCCTCCTATGCGTCCTATAGAGCGAAAAATATGGTAATACAGTACATGTGTGTTGAGACGGTGGGGAGAGAAAATATAAAAATGTAGCCAACACTATGACAAAGCTTTAAACTCCATGTTGGTTTTTTACTGCACAACCAAAGGAGCCTCAACAACACAAGCCATTTTTATTCTCCAGCAGAGAGGATGTGCCAAATTCTAACACAATGGAGGCTTTTGAAAATTTGGATTTATGTTGTTGATAATAAAAAAATCATTACTTTTTAAAACCCTTCCAGAAATCAGTCACAACTTTACTTCTGAAGAAGCTAGAGAGCCATCCCACGAAGAGCCCAGATCCAAAACTCACCTCTCCCTGGAGCTCAATTGATGGGTTACAGTTGGTGAAGTCTTCCCAGAGGAGCAAAGTATCCTCATTCTCCTCCCACGTCAAACTGTCACAGTCATCATCAAAATCGAAGGTTTCACGCCTGACAGGGAAATATATATACATATATTTTCATTAAAAATCCTTGTAATCCTTCTTCAAAACAAGCTTAGGAGATGGTAGTAGCGCTAGAACACACACATAAAGGCATAGGATCTTGATGTGGCTATCTCGCCCTCTGCTGAAAAGAGGCTCCACATCTGCCTTTATTCTGCTGCAGGATAGACAGACTTGAAATTCCAAGCTAATCTTAGTGTGACAGTTCAGCTGTTCCCCTCCAGGTGGTGCTGCACATCAAAACAACAGTCCAGAGCTTTACACAAAGGTTCTAGTGTCCGAATTAAAAATATTTCTGCCCATCACTAACAAAAGATACAAAATGCCCAAGACGTTCACATGTAATTAAAAAGTCATGCTTTAAAGCAGTGAAAAGATGGGCAGTTTCACTAGCCACCTATAATCATTGCTCTGTGCTGCTTTAGTTTCATATGCCGTACAACAGGAGCCGGCAAAAAATTTTAGCCGCAGGCCGGTCCACTGTCCCTCAGACCTTGTGGAGGACTGGAGAAGTGGCACTGGGGGGGGGGCAAGTAGTCCTCCTCCTCACCCCCCACCTCCACCTCCACCCACAGCCGCTGCACTTACCTTCCCTGGCCGCTGCTGCTTCTCGTGGGTAGGCAGAGTGAGCTCGTCTGCTCCGCTCTCTGGCCCACAGCAGCACCAGGGCAGTGGTAGCGGAGGGAAGATGAGTGGCGCAAAAGGGCTGGTGCTGGAGAGGGGCTGCTTCAAATGGCGCTCAGCCAGCTCAGCCCAGCCCCCTTCCTCGTCTAGGCAGGGCAAGAAGAAGCCAGGAGGAGGGAGGGAGGAGGCGCCAACGCAGTGTGTGTTAGGGAGAGGGGGGTAAATGGAATGGCGCGGGGGGGGGGGGGAATGGCGCAGCCCGAACAAACGGAATCCCCACACCGATCCATGGACAGTCCGTGGGCCGGATCCTGAAGGCAATTGGGCCTGATCCGGCCCACGAACCTTAGTTTGCCAACACCTGACGTACAACAAGCATTACTAGAAACTGGGGGCCCCTGATGGTTTCATCACTAATCCTGCCCCCTCCCCAGATTCTCTGACCCAATTTTGAAATCTCCAGGGGACAGAGCTGCATGTGGGAGGTGCACAGCGAATGAGGAGTCCCAGAAGCTCATTTAGCTCTGATGTCTAAATTGGAAGCAGTTTTATATACAGTCTGACTGTTGATCCACTTAGATCAGTATTGTCTGAATAGATGGGTGGCAGGAGTTCTACACTGTACCAAGCAAAACTCTTTTCCCAGTTCTACCTGGGGATGCCAAGAAGTGAATGTAGTGACTTCTGCAGGTAAAGCAGGTGCTTTGCAAGAACCTTTGGACTACAGACCTGTAAGCAGTTAAATGCCGTACAAATGAAGTAACGCAACAGCTCTGATAATTAAGTAAGCAAACATTACTAAGGCAGTTCCAGGGAACACATCACATCAAAACTGATGCCTTTTATGGGACCAATTTGGGCTAGCCAAAGGAACACAATCAGGCTTGAGAAGTTACATCTAGTCAAGGTCACAAGGCAGTGATGCCTGAATTTTCAGCTAAAAACTAACAGGATGAAACTTTGAAAAGATTTTACACTAGCTTCTTTTAAAGAATTGCCTGAGAGGGGACTGCTTGATCCCATCCTCCAGGAATCTTGCGGCTACTCTGCTGAGCTCCACAATGGCAGACATTTTTGTCTCCTGAGTTCATTTCCTTCCCAGCAGAGCATATATAAAGCAGGAAGTCGAGGTCAACACTTCATCTTATGACGAATGAATTCAAAACTTGGCAGTGGACAGGAAGAGGCAGCGTGGGAGCACATGCCAGCTTCTAAAATCGGCCAAGCCTCCCAGTTTAAAACTACTGCTTTCCTTCAGCTGCATTTATTTTGCAACCATGGCTATTTGTATAATCTGAATAATTTGAACCCTCTTACGAAAAGACACAGCACTAACGCAGTTGTTGTTCCTTAGGGGTTTTAGAAGGGATTTCTTTTCATTTCCAACAATGCAATGGACTGGCCTATTAAGTGTATAGTCAGAACTGTCAACCCTGTCCACAGTGTTTAAACCCAAAACATTACTTGCAGAGTGTCCCAAAGAATCAGCCCTCAGTAAGCCACATTCAAAATAAACTGCAGGATTCCTGGGTGGGCTTGCAGACACTGGGGTTGTACTGCATAACTGCCGTAGTCCAAGCATGTAGCATTTTAAGAGTAGAGGTATGCAGCAAAAGGTGATGTTGGCACATGCCATTCAAAATAAGAGCTGGAACAAATCCCATGTCCCAAAAACATGCCACAGGGGTGGGGCTCCTACGTAAGGCGCATGGCATGAATGAGAGCTGCTAACTGCAGATCCTTCTGAGGGAGAGTGCATATGCACAATGGCCTGGAAATTCCGCTTCTTGAAAGAGGCAAAGTGTTTAAAAGCATTGGCTCTATAAAAACAGTCATAAAGACCAGCATTATGATTACTAAGCAAGAGTTTCACTTGGGGACATAATTTCTGAGTGACGAAGACTCTTATCTTTTATTGGCATTTAAGAAGAGGACTGCTGGGTGAAGTCATGATGGATTCCAGTAACGGTATGTATAAGCTAGCCAATTTTCAGCAAGCTTCCCTCCCACTGGATAAGAAGGGTTGCTTAGACAGCAGGGCATGCAGTGCAATGTAGGCTGTCCCAAAGTGTGTGTCGTGATGCCCCTGCATTAGGGTTGCACTTACAGCAAAAGGCTGCAGGCCCTCTTGTCAGCAAGTCTTGCTCAGGGGATCTACATGCAGAATTTCAGATACCTGTATTTTCAGGTATCTGAAATTCTGCATATAGATCCCCACCCTTTTCATTTTCTTTTTGAAAACCAAGTTGTTTCTGGCCATGATGACTGCAAAGCATACAACTGGAAGTGTGTAGGCAATTACCACCGAGATCTCAAGAGGTGGCAGGGAGTGAAAAGCTAATATTTCCAGCGGACAGGCTTGAGCGCCCTGTGGTATCCCTGTGATATGAAGACTCTATATTAGCTGTATTTAGAACAGAGCTAGGGAACCTGATGCCCTCCAGATGTGGTTGAACTACCACTCCATCTTTCTATGACTGGGGCTGATGAGAGCTGGAGTCCAACATCTGGAAAGCACTTGGTTCCCCATCTGTGCTTTAAATAGACATATTCATGGAGGATAGGTCTAGCAATAGTTATTAGCTAGGACAGCTATCTGGAACCTCCAGGTTCTGGAAGCAGTGGCCCTCTAGTTCCTGGGGGACAAATTGACCAAGGATTCCTGGTTTTGAGTATTGCTTATGGATTTTCCCAGAGGCACCTGGCTAGCCAACAAGAGAAGCAGGATGCTGGAATAGATGGGCACTTGGTCTGCTCTAGCAAGGTTACTCTTATGTTCTTCCAGCAGAAACAGAATTATGCAAAACAAGCAGATCTATGTGAGTTCTCTGATTTGCATGATTAAAAGCTGCAAAATCCTACTTGCCTCAGTGAAGAACAGAAACTACCTCGAAGCCATATTTTGGTGTCACCTCCCCCTTTCCTAGAGCCACAGCCAAAAGGATGCCAAGACATTCCCCAGCCTCTGAAATACTCACAGCTGATTAAACATCCTCTTCATTTCATCCGTGATGTTCAGAGAACAACTGACTTCATCGTCCGAAAATCGGGCATTGTCTGGATCCTGCTCAGAGAGGTCATCATCCGACACGAGTTTCCGCTCTTTCTTCTTGGAAGCCACCTGAATTGGAGAGAAGGGCAGTGACTAGAAGGTTCAGGTGAGCTGCTGCGCCAAGAAGGGGCAGAGATAAAGGAGAGGTATGAGGTGGGGGGAAAGATTGTGAGCCATCAGCCACCCCCATCCCACTTCCAATGGTTTGAGTGAGCAAGTGACAGCTGACACAGATTCATTAAATCACAAGTGTTACAGGTGGCAGAACACACAGCACAGGGAAGCAAATTGAGACAGCACGCGGCAAAAAAGCAAGCTGCTAGCGCTTCAGATGGGCCATGCCTCAGTGGCACAGCCATTTGGGTTACAGTCGGCCATGCGAAGGCTAGGAGGATGACGCACAAGCGGTTGGAGATGCTCAAGGTGACAAGCTGGAGAGCAACAGGCACCCCTTGGCGGTCCCCTGCCTGGCCTCAGCTAACAGTGACAAGGGGGGGACTCAGCTGTGCCATACAGCCAGGAAGAAGAACCCCGAGTCCTGCACCATTTTCCACCTAGAAGCAGAGCTAGTCAGGCACCAGTTTTGACAGGAAAACAGAATGAAATTGGAGGAAGGAGTTCGGAAACACAAAGAAATTTCATTTCAAATATCCATCCACCATAAACAAAAGTGGATCACAGCTAACAAACAGTGTTATAATCGGTAAGAATATACGAGTGAACTGATTCATTATTACGACTCTGGGATGGTTTTATGAATTTTGTTTTATTGGTTTAAGGTTGTAGGGGACAGTGTGCTCCTTAGGATTTAATAATGGATAGCAGAATAATCAGGGGCAGAAATACTAAGAGGAGGGGCAGGGTGCCCTGTGGTGATGGCCTATCTCCTACTCCTTGGACTGCACCAAAACCTACTTGTGGATGGAGATTTTCACAGCTGCCTACACACTTGCAATGTTCTCCTTCATGACAGCTAACTGTTTGTTTTCTCCTAGAGTTCTCCCAGGGTCAGAAAAAAAATCTGATTTTTATTTTATAAGGAACATAAAAACCAAGTGGGACATCGTAATGCATTTTTGTGGTGTCTCAAGAGGACCAGCAGACACACAAGCTTGCTCTTAAAATTTATCTGAAGACTTCTAAAGAGATTGAGGTCTTAATGTTGCTGTGTGAGACCCAAGGCCTGGTGACACCTGTGCAGACCTTTGTTGATGCAAGAACACAACTCCCTGCTTCAGTTAAGATTATTCCCAACATGGGAACAGAGCACATGAAACTGGGATGTTCTCTACAGAGGCTTGTCAGCTGGCCCCATGATTTATAGTGGGAATCCTGAACAGCAACTCCAAATCCAAAACACAGCTCCATCTTTCTCTAGCACAGCCATGTTCTCCACAGGACAGGACGGAGCCTAATCACCTGGAATATCTTGGAAACGTCTTCAGAGTTGCGCTGCTGCGCTACATCACACAGTTTGGCTGTGATATCGATTCGACGGCAGATGTCCATGTCCACCTTCATGGCTTTTTCTTGGATCTTTGTGTCCAGGTCTGTCATAGGCTGCAGGAAGGACAGCAGTGGATTATCTTCCATTAATACAGTTCAGAAGATAAGAAGGAGATGACCTACAGTATCTCCATCAACGCAGATCATGCCAGCCTCCATATTAAATGCTGCCTGTTTTCCAGGCATGCTAAACATCCAAGGGACAGGAGCATTTGGGGTAGGTAGTCAAGTCACTGCAAGTTGAACACTGATTTCTAACAAAGGCAAATGTTCAAAGACGGTTACGGTTTTAAACGAACTGTCAACCCAAAGCCTAACATTTGCAATGCTATTTATTTTATGGAATGTACATGGAAAAACCTATTCCAGAAGTCCCCCACATGATGTGTGGGATGCAGGTTTTGTTTTATGTAGAAAGGTAGATAGTACTTCATGTCAGAAAATTCACCTAGCTACTTCACACTAAAAATAGTTTCTCTTACAGGACAATGATATTATTGAATTCCAACATCTTTCAAGAACTTACAAGATGAAACCTGTCACATGATATATGCCTCCAGAAAGTAATGAGCGTTTTAAAAAATCTACAACCTAAAATATTTAATTCTAGGAGAAAAGGGACCTTCCAAATTTTCTAATCTTGTTCAGATTTTCACTTCCTAGGTTTGTTTGTGTATATATATTGTTTTGCTGCTCATTATTTGCAGTTCTGAGCTCCTTTAGGAGGAAGAGATGCACAGAAATGTAAGAAATTCAGTGGCTATAAATGGAGGAGCATTTCCCAAATATTCTGTAACTGTGCTGTTTGCACTACATAACCCTTAAAAATCCACACACACAAGTTTTTCTAGAGAAAAGCATCTACTTTCTTAAAAAAAATAAAAAATCCAAATCTGACCAAAGCCAAATATTTATTCCACATACAATACTGATAAGGACAATGTTTTACACCTCATACCCTTCCATTATGGAAACGTCTCTTAAGCAATCATTTCTTATCCAAAAAACCTTGCACTACTCTCCATGAAATTCTGCAGCTTCTGCTATCTACACAAGATGCACATTTTTCTGTATTCCCTCACCCTTAGTTAGACTGCGCTCTGACTGGGCTGCTGCTCTCTGCACACACTAACAGTATTTATTTTAAACTATTAAGTTTTAACAGTCCATAACTGTGCCACCTATAAATTACAAAGATAAAATTATGCCCTGCATGTTTACATCATGAAAGTTACAAGGTATGTAAACTCAACTGAGATCCTGCCAACCTTTTTACAGTTCTGCTGCCCTAGAGCCACAATGACATATCCACACTTGGCCGAAAGAATGGATTTCCCTCATAAAAAGGAGAGTGCAAAAACTTGTGTCCATTGACATTTTCTTTGGAGTCTGACTTTCAGAACCACAATATGCACCAACAGGTTCTCTCTCTCTCTCCCCGCCCTGCCCACGGTTTTTATAAGGAGCCAGGGCAACATGATTCTGATATGTCCCAGAGCAATGTTTGAAGTTCCCAACTGAAAACAATACTACAGAAGGAGGTGGAGAGAGAGAGAAAAGAGGAGGGCTGGGGTAGCTCTGCTGTTGAGCCCGGAGATAAATGTGAGCAAGGCCTTAAAGTGAAGTGTGTGGAAAATCAGGAGTGGCTTTTCTTCATGTGAACTAGAATCTTTGAGCACTCAAGTTCCCTACATCAGCTAAATAGCTGTCACATAAACGAGGTTTGTCATGCTTTCTACCTGTTCTGATTGTCAGGCCACACTATTGACAATTCAAGTTTCCAAAGCAGGAAGCTGCTCCCTGAAACGACTCCCTAAAATGGCATTCACAGTTCTAAATATGCACAGTTTACTCAATATGCTCAAATGGCAGGCTTGAAACTAAGTGACCCAGCAAAGTAGATCTGAACTGAGTTTCTGAAATCATTTTGGTTAGATGGAACTGAAAGGAGTATTTTTAGCATTTTTCTAACTGATGGCATCTGCATGGTGCTTCTTCAAACCTGCACATAATGGGAAAGCCTAAACCCTTTAAAGAATATTCTTTCCAGAGGTTGCAGCACTGGAGGGGTGGGGGGAAGTACCCAGCACTGCTAGCTGGTGTGAAGCCATCGGGGAACACTCAGGGTTGTGTGATAAGCAGCAAGTTAAATGCATCTACACAGACCAGACAGGAAGCAGGGAGAGGACAAGGGAATTGGTCTGATGCATTAGATCATACAAGGCAGCCATAATACTAACTGCAAGCAGCACTTACTGAAATCATAACTTTTTCATTAATGAAGCTATGAAGATGACTCCCCGCCCCCCTTTAAACCTGGTGCAACTCAGCCTGCCAGGGTACTTACATCACTCATCAGACCCTTGAAGACAACAAGTTCAGCTTTCAGTCTCTCAATCTTCTCATTTAGCTCTTCTTGGAGGGCTTCGGCTTCTTGTGCCTCCTAGAGGACAAATGGTACAAAGAATTGTGGTGCGGAAGGAAGGGCACAAGCTTCAGACACAAAGCTCAAAGAAATAATCAAATACAGATCTGGCAGCTAATTTCAGTTTGCTCCTATCTTGTGGAACAGTCTCACTATCTCCCAGGTAAGCCATGGAGTGGGAAACGACATGTGGTCCTCTGGGTGCTATCCCAGATGCCTCAAATACTGTAATAAACATTACCTCTGGATGTTGGAAGGTCAACAATGTGAATTAGATTCACATAAGTAGCTGTGACCATCTTAGCTGCTAATGAAAAGCTATGCCATTATGCAACCCACACCTCTGGACTGCCAGCTTTAGTGATTTATCAGATTTCCAATGCATCCTTCACCATAACACCCTAGAGTGAGTTACAACAATTGAAAATACAATCAGAAATAGAAATCAAATTATTACAATTATAAAACTGTTCAAAATGCAACAAGACAATATAAATTCAGTGAAAGAGGTGGGTCTCGCAAAACAAAATGTCTTAACGATCAAATACTTGGATTATGATATGCATCTTCAGCATATGACAAAAGCTGTACAATTAAGATGCTTAGATGCACCTCTGTGGGGAAGGAGTTCTACAATTTAGGGGCCACCACAGAGAAAGCCCTATCTCAGGCTACCACTGAGGATGGTGGAATTATCAAGAACCCCTGTCACACGCCACTGTTATTAACACCTGAGAAGGCTAGTAGAGATGAAGACAGTTTTTCAGATATTTGGGGCCTACATCCCATAATGAAGCTGTTCTTCTATTGCTGAAGTGCCACTGGATACCAGGAATTGAAGTCCTCTTTATAAAAAAATAAAATCAGAGTTCTTTATTATCCTGTAGTACAATTTACAGAAGAGCAGCTGTGAACTAGTATCCCATTTAGGGTCTGATTTTTTACAAAAGAAGTGATACACATACCTGGTCATTAATCCCAGGCAGTCCCTAACCCCAGGCCACAGGCAGCTCATGAAGCCAGCTGGGTGCCAATAAAAATAAGAACTGGCCCCTATCCACCTTTGAAGAAACATACATTTAGGTGCTCTCTGAAACCTACCTCTTGGAGAGTCTCTACCATTGATTCCAGATTCATTCGCTTTGCCAGTTCCTCCTCCCATCTGAAAAAAGAAGAGTTGTGAATTAGAGATAAGAGAGAAGTATGTGACAATGGCACTCTATAAAAGCACAGCCCAAGTTGGAGGGAGCCTTACAAGCTCTGAACCCAATTTCAAATTGGAAGATCTGACAAGCAGTTGTCCTGGCCTTGTATGGGATCCAGTTTTCCTTGCTGGTCACAGATTGTTACATACTGCCTAAAGCCAGCCTTCTCCAACTTGAGCCCTTTAGATGTTTTTGTCCACAACTTCCATAAACCCTTCCATAAGCCCTAGTCAGCATGGCCATAAGATGCTGGGACTGATGGGAGTTGTGATCCAAACATCTGGAGGGCACAAAGTTGGAGAAGGCTGGCCTAGGTTAGGGCGAATGCATGCCCTACCCCAGAATTAAAATACAGTACTAAACCTCACTTATTGGAAAAACTTGCCAGGAATACTTTGGTTCAGTAAAAACATGTTAACCTCCAAATGATCATATCTCATAATAAAGGACACTCTTTTAACAACTACAACTTCATAGGTGAAGCCAAAGCCTGCCTCCTCCTTCAAGCACAGTGGCAGCCCAAGGCACTAGGAGTTACTGCTGACTCCATCAGATAAAACATTCTGCAGAAAGCTTCCCTTAAGTAAGCCTCAGGAATGCATCAGGTCACGTTTGCAGAGACCTTTCGCTCCACAAATCCCTCAGCAGAAGTGCTGGAGAACTTGAAAGCTTGGTTACAAAACTATGATTGACGACTGCCATTAGACGTCTGGAAAAAAGCATCAACGCAAGGATGATTAAAATACTCCCAACAGTCTAATTAAAAGCACAGTATGAAATTACACTTGTTTACTTATCCAATTGGCTAACATTAACAAGGTTACATTGGTGAAAGAACAGAAAACCCACAACACTTCATCAAAACTACAAAAGTTTGAGAACTGTTCCTGTGTAATTTGCTGACAGATTCATACAATGATTTGCCAGCATTCCCATTTCCAAAACAATCTGGTGATGTTTGTGTTTACCATTCAACCACATCCCACTGAACTCTTTCCAAAAGCAGCTTCTGTGCAGAACCAACATTTTACAAGTCGTAACACACACACCCTTAAGGGCTGCATTTAGAACACAGCCACATGCCAAGGGGATCATTTCAGAAGGGGACAACAAAGGCAGCTGTTAGGCTGTCATTTTCCGCACTAATCCTTGACAAACTGCACCTGAATGTGTCGTTTTCCTGAAGCGGGAGGACCATAAGCATTATGTGCAACCCACAATGGCCAGCTTTACTTTTGTGTCTGCAGGGCAGATCTACTGGCATGAGGTGAAGTCTCCCTAATAAGCAACTGCACACTTGAGCAGAAAGATATTTCTAACCTTGCTTTTCAACACCAGCCATTTAAAATATTGGTGCTGGGGTTTGTTTTTAACACATGTGTTTTTAGACTTCAACTCTAGTGACCCTGCTTGCACACAAGTTACTGGTTACCAGGGTATTTATATACAAGAAGCAATGATGCTTTTCTAAATCTGCATCCATCTTCTGACCTGCAGGAAATATACTTGGAGGTAAAAAAAAAAAGTTGCCATTCTAGACAACAGATTTAGAGATAAATAGCTGAGTTATTTTTCCAAATCATTTACACAAGGAATATTGATGAGATCATTACAATATTACATGCCAGGTAGGATGTTGTACCTCCAGTACTTAAACTGATAGTATCAGTTGCTGCTCTCAAAGGCTTATCTTCCTTGATTTCAACTTCTTGAACTACAAGGCAGAGCAAGAGACAAACTGGTATTTAAAAAATAAAATAAAAAGCAAAATCAAAATGTTAGGTGGGTCCTTCCCCAGTACATGAGTCATTCTAAACAAGTGTCATAAAGTTATGACAAATCACTGTCCTCTCATAGTCTGCAGGGTGTTTGCTAACCACAATCACACAAGTGGAGCTGTGAAAAGTTTCATTATCTTTGTTTAAACCTAGTTAATTTGCTTCATGCGGTGGAAGGACCCAATCCCAGTTTAACTGACTTAACAACATGCTTTCCTGGTGACACAGAGGAACCTCAGGCCCAGGGGCTGGATGCAACCCTCCAGGCCTCTGTCTGGTCCCAAGGCCCCACACCCTCCCAAGCTGCACCCATTGCCAGATTGTCCTTGTACCCTTCTTGAATGTTTTTGCCTGGCTGGAGTATGTCCTTAAACTCTGATGCTGCCTCTGGCTTGCTTGAATGGAGGATAGAGAGGGAAATGTAAGGGTGAAGAAATACGTTGCCTTTGCCAACCCCTCTCATGTGGCCCCCAAAAAGGTTTTCCAGGAGAGAATGGGCTGAAAAAGGTTCTGCACCCCTGGCATACAGTGATGGAGTCATATGCATGCTATGTGAATGTACACATATAAAGAACAATCCAACCCCACCCCACCCCCTGCTTTCAGTTGCAAGGCTAGTTGAGCCAGATAGGCAATTTTTATCTGCCAATGACTCTCTCTGAAGAAGAGCTAGCTGCTACATTTCACTAATGGCACGTAAGGTTTCCCCAATGGAAGTCATAACCAAAATCCCTTTTTGTTCTTGGCTTTGACTGTTTCTCCCATGACACTGATTAATTTCATACCAGCCCTGTGTGAACACATTTAAAAACCAAAGTGTCTCGTCTCCCTGGTGTAAACCAACTCCTGCAGTCTTGACACAAAGCAACCCACCAGCCTTGCTCCTTTCAGATTAATATGTTAAAATAGGCAAGGCTAGAGTCATGACATACAGATCCTATTCACAAACAAATATTGTTAAAAAGGATTCTGAAACAATCCACCACTGTTGCTGCTAGAACAATCACAAGCAATATAGAGGTAGTGATGGAGGAAATGCTTGCAGCTGACTGCTATGTTCTTTAGCCATTCCTATAAGGCCTCATTCATTGCCAAGAGAGCTTTAAGACGCTGGTGCAGCATGTTTCAGCCGTCCTTAAGATATGCTCAAGCTCTGAAGCAACCTGAGAGGCCAGCATATAAGTGGGGCTGCTGTGAAGTAGCTTAAGGAGATGCTGAGGCAGCCATTCTTGATCACACACGTCACCTTCCCCCTTCCAACAAAGCAGAGGAAAACGCCTGACTGCTTCATTAGCATCCCTCTGGCAGTAAGAACATAGGAGCCTGTCCTTCTATTGGTAGGCCCACTTCCAGCCGGTGAGACTGCAAGGTGTCTGGGAAGGCAGCCCAAAGGACAGCAGTTCTCACACTTATGCTGCAGACAGCTGCTCTTCCTAGGTTCAAAATTTTCTTGGCTCAGACCTCAGTTCCCACAATGTCCAGCTGCAATCAAGGCAGGAGATTCAGCGCTGGAGCAAATTTTGCCAGCCAGAATTTACAGAGTGCAAAAATGGCATTAGCAGCCACGTCACAGGCTACTGGGATTATTTTTAAATAAGGTATCAATTCCAAAACATTTAAACGCCGAGCATGATCTAAGCTCCTTCCTCCCTCTAAGGGCAGCTGTGTGTTTTGACTACTCTCAACATTCACATGGCTCATTGTTATAGTTACTGGGAAATGATGGACCAGTCAAGCTGAAGCTAGGAATCCAGCCCTCTGTTTCCATAGGCAATAGGGCATTCCTCACTTATTCCATCACTGCAGCCCCAGACCTCAAACTACCTCCAATGTCATATGCTTCTTTGACAGGCTGGGAGGAGGGAAATACTTTCTAGAGGTAGCATAAAAACAGTTACAGTATTACACAGCAAGGCAAACCACACCAAACTGATGAAAGCAGTGTTGACTATAGAGAAGAGTCAAGAGTTTAACTACGTACTTCAGCCTTAGAAATATTATTCATGAATTGAACTGACTTCTAAAGAAATATGAACAGTGGCAGAAGGAATTTTAAAAGGTGGCCATTATGTAAATGTTTATCTTGATCGGGAGTTTCCATAAATACTCACTTCCTTTTGCATTAGTTTGAACCACTTGGTTTAACTCTTGCATTACAGTGGGGGATACCAATGCCTACAATGATTCTGGGTCCACGCCCTCCTTTCCTGTTGGGCCCCAGGAAATTTCAATTGCCCTCTACCCTCTGAAAAAAGGCACCCCTCCCTCCTCCTCTTGCCCCCATCCAGGAGAGGTGTTGAGGTCTGCTGGGATATCTGCTCCCTCCCTGTCTGATGGAGGATTTGAAAAACAAGCTTTGATATTTTGGGAGTAGCTCTGACAGAGCAGCTGCTTTGCATTCAGAAGGTACAAAGTTCAGTCCAGGTGGGACTACTGGAGAGCTCTGCAGTCAAACCTCATGTCCCAATGAGGAACATCCTTGCCCCCATCAGAAGAAACCACATCATTGCTGAACTGCCATGGTGCTTCACCAAAGGGGCTGACCTCTTTCCACTCCAAAGTGGTTGGGATGTGCTAGGCCCAGTGGACAGGGACCGTGGGGTTTAGTTTCCAAGATCATTGTGGTTGGCGACCTCTGTGGGGAAGAACCGCTTGATCAATCAGTCTGCAGAGACACTATTGACAATAACTACAAAGTCACCTTTGGGGTGGACTTAGAGATGGAGCATTTTGAGGTGCCTGCAGCTGTGGGACACAGCTGGCCAGGAGTGCTTCAAATGCATCGCCTCTACCTACTACCACGGGGCTCAACCTATAATCATCGTCTTCGACCTGAATGACATGGCCTCCCTGGGCCATACAAGGCAGTCATTGCTTGATGCCCTGAAGGAGAACAACCCTTCCAACATCATTCTCAGGAAGGATCTTAGCTCTCCAGTGAAGTACAGCTTCATCAAGAGGGATACCCTCAAGGTGACAAAAGAAATGGAGGCTGAATACTGGACTGTCTCCTCACTCACAGATGAGAATGCGTGGGAGTTCTTTTTCCTGGTGGCAGAACTGACCTTCAAGGGCAGTGTAGTGTGAGAGCTGGAGAGGAGCAGCACGCTCAGGATTGGTGATGCCAAGTGGATCCACAGTGACGAGTGAGACCTGTACCCGACTGATAAGTGGTGGAA